CCTCTCAAACGGGTACTCTTTCTATCATAGTGGTACTGAGGAACGAACCAAAAGAGGTGTAGGATTTTATGTACCGTCATCGTTGAATCAACACAGCGATTGTTTCTTTCATTCTGAACGAATGATTGAGCTTTGCATAAAACTAGCCGATAGGAGCACTCTCCGTATAATACAAGTTCACGCGCCCCATTCAGATTTTCAAGATGTGGAATACGAGGCGTTCTTAGACAATCTTGCTCATGTTCTCGATGCCAGGAGAAGTAAGCACCAAGTGATTCTGGGCGATTTCAACGCAACTCCTGGTTTACGCCGTAATGAAGAGCGATACATTGGTAACAATTCCTCAGGAGCTCGAAATCACCGTGGACAAATGTTGGCCGACTTTTGTGAGGAAAGAAAGCTATTTCTTGCTAACTCGTTCTTCAAAAAGAGACTTGACGATCGGTGGACATGGCGAAATGATGCCTTGGGACTGAAGAAAGAGATTGATTATGTATTGTTGAGAAGTATGAAGGGCGTTGTCGATGTAGGAGTGCTCACTAGTGTTAACACGGGGAGTGATCACCGCATGTTAAGATGTAAAATGCGTCTGAATCCGATCTCACAACCAGTAAGAAGACCAAGAGGATTCCCCGTTATCGACAGCGACTTATTGTGTTCAACCGCTCAATGTTTACTACATGAAAATATGATGACTGGCGATACAATCAAAGATTATGATACCATTACTCGCGTCATAACAACAGCTACTCAGATGTCCACAAGGTATGAATATCTCCCACCACGTCTATCACCAAGGACCCGGGATCTCCTCCAGAGACGACGAGAGCTACGTCACGGAGATAATGGGAGGGGAATCGTGGAGTATGCTGAGATTTGCAAGCTAGCCCGAAAATCTATCCAAGAAGATTTGCGACAACGTCATATTCAAATATTTCGTCAAGCCATCAAGTCCGGACGCCTTCGACGTGGGCGCATGCAAGCTTTACACGCAAGAAGATCCTTGACAATCCTGAAAGAAACCACCTCCTCCCCTCCTAGCGACCCCTCCCCATCAGATGAACCTTTTCCTGATCACGTGTCGCAGTCAGTGAAAGCAGTGAGAAATTTTTATAACGCACTGTACCACTCCTCCTTCGGCCCACCCACTCCACCATCAGGCCAAATAAATCTGCAGGTCCACAATAATGAAGTGCAAATGGCAATGAAGAGAAGCAAAAGCACGTTCAGCTGCTGGTTCCGATGGCATTCAATCCCCTTCTCTTCGTGCTCTTTCACAAATACTCGCCTTACCCATAACACATTTTTTCAACAACATGATAAGGACAAAGGTTGTGCCTGCAAGTTTTGCATTCGCTCACACCATTCTACTCTACAAAGCTGGAGACCCATCTAACATCGCTAATTACAGGCCAATATCGCTGCTGTCGACGCTGTATAAGGTGCTGACAAGAATATTTACAGACCGTTTGACAGCCACAATTGAGGAAAAGTCAATTCTACCACCGGAGCAGGCTGGTTTCCGCAAGCACTTCTCGACCATAGATCATATTCACACTATTAATATGATTACCGAGAAATGTCACGAGTTCAATATAGAGCTATGTGCCGTTTTCGTCGATTTCAAGAAGGCCTTCGATAGCGTGGAACTTCCAATGATATGGAAAGCGTTGGAGTATTTTGGTGTGGAGGAGAACTTGATAATGGCCATACAACTGCTGTATGCACACAGTACCGCTGCCGTCAGAATAGCGAACCAACTAGCAGAGTTCAATCTGCAGCGGGGTGTAAGACAAGGAGACTCAATGTCTCCAGTTCTCTTCACATTAGTTCTCCAGTACGCGCTGAATCTGATAGATTGGCAGGGCAAAGGACTGAAACTAGGGAACAAAACCCTCTCGTACCTAGCTTATGCTGATGATATTGTCCTTCTCGCTCATAGTTGTGAAGATATTGGAATAATGGCAAAAATGTTGGCCGATGCTGCGGAGAAAGTGGGACTCACTATTAATTTTATGAAGACGAAATGGATGAGATTGAGTAAAGCCGATCTAGGAGATATCGACGGTCCCTTATACGTGCAGGAAAATGAAATCGAACGAGTCGACCATTTCAGTTATCTCGGTCAAAGGATAACGTTCCCGCGAAATCCTAAGGATGTGATCCATAGTCGTATTCAAGCAGCTCGTGCCTCATACTTCAAGAACCGACTGTTCCTTCGACAACCTCGAGTGGAAATGAGTTTGAAACGAAAACTTATCAATATGTGTATCCTACCAACAGTGTTATATGGTTGCGAAACATGGGTATGGACAAAGGAAGTGGCGATGTGCCTCAGAACAGCACAAAGACGTTTAGAAAGAGCCATACTTGGAGCTAGGCTTTCGGACAAAATCTCATCCAAAATCCTACGCAGAAGGACATCGCTGAAAGATTGGGTGGTTTCGGCACTACAAAGAAAATGGTCCTACGCTGCGCGTCTCTCAAGAAGGTCCCCTCAAGACTCCTTGGGCTCGAGTGGCAACTGACTGGATACCACAAGGAAAAAGAGGTCTCGGACGTCCCAGAACAAGATGGCTGGACGACTTCGCTCGTTATACTGGAGCAAGGACCAGAGACATGACTAGAAGATGGACGACATTATTCACCGCTGCCGGTTCCTCGAGAATCTTCGCACAAATGATCAAAAACACTCTATTTGTGTCTGTGCGATAAAGAATAAAGTATTAGTATTAGTATTAGTAATGGCAAACTCGTGAGCAAAACCAGACGTCGAAAGATTGCGTTTTAGAAAGTGAATTCAGTGAAGAATCCTGAGTGTTTTTCACGTGACCCTCATTTCGCATTACTAATGTGAGCTTATGACTTTCTCTAGGCATTCCAGGAAAAAAAAACAACAAAAATGAATATGATGTACGTGTGAGTTTGTTCACGGTGAAGTGGCAGTTCTCCACATACTCCGTTTGAGACCTTACTGAGACCTTCGTTAACTCGTGAGTCAGTTTTGCACAAAGAGCTTTTATAGGCAATGAAAGGGGTGCTATTAATTTTCAACTAAATCGCTTTTCAAAAAAGCGATGACACTTTAAATACAACTGAAGGACTTTCTACTACGTAATCCGCATTACTTGGTCTTTTGCATGATGTGTTTTATCTCAAACGCTAGTACTACACATGTAGGCTTGCATGCACCACTTCACCATCGTCACCCCATCAAAGTAGTATCCCAATACTGAGTCTCTTTATTTTGTATCGATTTCGATTGAGTTTATCATGCTTCCTATCGACCAGGTTGGTCCATTTTACTTGAGAGCGATTTTTTTCAATATCTTTTCAACGAAAGCAGAACGAGCCATGAGATTTTGGAATTAAATATAAATTCCTTTTCCAACAATAAATACTGCTCAATCTATAAATCCTTGACTTCCAAAATATTGGTTACATCGCCAACTTCGATTACATTGAGCTTGATTTCGAGTTTAAGGAAGCAAGCAAGCATGTGAGCACAGCAATGCTCATTACAAAAAATGGAATTTACTTTGATGTGCAAAAAACGGAGTGAACTCTTAGAAAGCGCACAGCGATCGCAATCGTCACTACCGCCTGGGGTTGATGTAGGTACAACAGGGTGCTTGGCACTTCGTATTAATTCCTTCTTTGGTCACTTACTGACGTGCAGCTTGTGAACAGTATGGGCTTCTAGAAAGCTTTCTGAGCAAAAAAACTTCCTCATCTGCGGCTCTAGGATAGCTTCATGGCATCTCGGTCTGCTTTTTGTTGTACAAGTGCTACCGTGCTACACCTCCCTCGAATTCTATGGCTATCACAGCATCCACTTCTCGCCAAGGTTCGATTCCCTAAAGACACTTGTACCTAACTCATTCGAAGACAGCCAGCCTCAAAGGTAGAGCAGAACCATTTCTCAGAACTCTCTTTTTTGCTTGAGTTCAGTGGTGCCATCCTCACTCGCGTTTTGGGCCCAGACCTCCTTTTCAAAACAGCGCTAGCCAACATTTTACTATCTTTTTACTGTGGATCTCTTGACCGATACGTCCCTAAGCTAGGCGTTCTTTCAGTCACTACAAGAGCTTGGGCCCCCATGGAGGATGTTTCAAAATGAATCCTTATTTATCGTCACCTGTTGCGTCAATGACAGTTCTCTTTCGATCCATGGATGATATTGGGTTGGCCCATTAGACATCGCAATTTTTTATTCTAAATTGAAAATTCGCTCTAAAGATTGGAGATTAACAATTGACTTCTACATCATCTAATAGAGAATTTTTGCACTTTGATACAATATGCCTAATCTTTTTGAATATTTCATTTCCATAAATTTTAAAGTGCCTGAAGTTGCGCGCCAAGGCGACGAAGTTCACCACATAGGGCCATTTGATAAGTATATGACCAAGAAGCAAAATCTTTGGGAAAACACAAAACGGTTTATGCGATATATAGTTTTCATTTTGACCTCACCATAAAGCTTGAGAACGGGTGCCTTATTGAGTTCGATTGAGAGCCAGCTTTTTCTTGAAGGTGCACACCAAAAAATAGGGAATTATTTATTTATTTATTTATCTATCTATTTCCATAACTCAAGGTGTGCACGAAAAAATACCTAAAAAATAAAACGCGAAAAAGACTATGGCGAGAACTGCAAATGGACTTGATGCATTAAGCTGAAGGACCCAGGGGCATTCATTCGTTTTTTTATTATTTTTACTTATTCATACACTACAGACATTCTTCACAAGGCCGGGAACTGCTTGCTTGTTGCGAAAAGGGTAGAGAGATATCGAAGAGATATTGAATGCCATCGTTACTGCAACCGAAAACTACTTGTCCTATTTCTGTGCAGGAAGGGAAGTCCTGAGGACTGACACAGACATAGAGAGCAGTCGATCACATATAGGATTCTTCGTTTGCACCGTGAATCAGCAGATGTCATGGGAAACTCCTATCTCTTCATCCAGCACGACCTTCAACTGATTATAGGGAGTAAAATCTTGGTGGGGGGAGGCTCTTTAGGCAGCCGCTCCCCAACAAGGCAGCCCATGCGATGCACACTTACATGGTTCAAACTCCCATATCTTGATCGCTTTCACGGACTTCAACCATTACCGAAAAGCCCTATTCCCTGCCCATACATACCATTTTCACTTCAAATTCACCACTTTTAAACCAAATTTACCACCTTCCAAACCCAATTCACCATTTTTCAAACCAATTCACAACATTTTTCGGACCGGGCAGTTAATCAACCAGATCACGCTAAATCCCACCGCGAGCCCCGCCCCGACGGCCACGCCTACTTGTCAGCGCGGTCGCAAAAAACGTTTCATAACTCCTGCTCTATGACCATTTTTGTCTTTGCTATTCCACACATACACTTTGACTGAAAAGGACTGGACATCGACACCTGGCCGAGTCCGCCCATTTTTCAAAGATTTTTTGTGGAATTCGAACGTTCATAACTTTTTTCAACTTTGTTATTCCATATCTTTTCTTTACATAACGGAGGTACGCATAGACGCACGTTTACGCAAAGACACATTAAGCTCCGCCCCTTGGCCGCGCCCTTTTTGTATATTTTTGTCAGATTTTGACCTCTCTTTGCTTCTTAAAAATTTTTGTACTGGTGAGATAGCTATTTTTGTGAGTGAAGTTTACAATGTGCTTTGGTAGCGGGAAGCCGCGCCCAGTCGGAACAAAAAATATGGTGGCCGGGTGTGAGAGTGGGCGTGATATTTGAGGGGGGGGGTGAAGAGGCACTGGCGCGTCGAGTAGTTATTAGGATGGTGGTAGGGATAGAGTGAGTTAGGAGAAGGTGGTGTGTAATCATAAAGAATGGGTGAGAAGACGACGAGTGTGATGCTTTGGTTGTGAGTAGGATGTGCGAGTGGAGGTAAAAGGTATAGGCGCAGGGATAGGAAAAGTTATACGATGATGTGGTTGAGATAAGGTGATGTGGGGTGTGATGGGGTATTTATGAATATTCGAGGTATTAAACGTGTAATCTGTGGGTACGGGTGAGTACGGAGTGGGTTAAAGAGGGGAGTCGCTATGGTGGTAGGGGAAATGGACGGTCGCGTTAAGTAAGATCTTGAGTTATGAAGGAGGAAGGGGAGGCAAGGAGGAGATACGAGCGATGAGGGACGGAGTGGTCAGGTAGAGTAAGGAGCATGTTGAGGTTCTCGTCGGACTATGTGATAATAGTGGATGGTGGGTGTGAGAGGGTGAAGCTAGGATAGCTGTTTTTCCAATTATTAGGGCGGGCTTGCGATGCGCGGAGGAGTTTGGTAAGCAAGAGGTTATATAACGTGTAGGTAGGGGGAGTGGGGATTGGAGAATGGCAAGTCCCGGATCACTGTTTTGGAAAGCGTGGCGTGGGAGAGGGGTGGTAGGAGTCCTTCTGACAAAGCGGGGGGGTGGTGGTTGCTGTCAGTCAGCACGGGTCGGAGTGTGTGTAGGAGATGATAGGTATATGCCGCGAGGGAGAGGACGAGGAAGCGTCCTAAGATAATTGAGACAGAAAGTTCTGAAGAAACATCAAATTTTCGCAAAATTAATAAAATAGTCAACTTCACTTCCCAAGATTCGTGGAAAGGTGAGAATCGAGCGCCATTGGTCAATCCCTTTTTGGGACTCACTCTACTTTTATTCATAATCGCAGTATCTTATTGGGTGTGGTATGGGCTTTTGTAGGAATTTGTTTGCGGGAGCCAGCCGACATCAGCCCCGCCGCTGTAGAAGAAAGTGCACGCCCTACTCTCAACAGTGGCAGAGATGATGTGGAAGCAAGTGACTGACTCACAGGGCACATCACTGTTGGGTATTCCCCAACAGGAGGGGTCGTATTTGGTCGCTGGGGGAGAGAGGGTTAGGTCGTATTTGGTCTAAGAAATTTATTTTGGTAGTCGATTTTTCTATTTTCACGGACGCTGGTAGGAGGGGGGTCCGTACCTGCCCCTTGAGAGAAATTTGCGGCGTTGGGAGATTTTTACCCGGTTTTTGACTTTCCCCTTTTCACATGTGCCTCTACCCCCCCCCTTTCACGCTCGACAGCTTGATCGATTCAGAGGAGGGAGCTCGGAGAAGGGGTGGAGGGCCGTGTTAAAGCACCTCTTAGGGAGGGTGACGGTCGCACGGACTTGACCCAATTCCAGAACTAATGAAGTGCCCTGGGCTCACCATGCGCACGTCGGACAGCGAGGTGGAGGTGGATCAGTCGCGTGCTGTTAGCAACCAGGGCGACGAATTCTCTTCACAGTTGCCGCCGGTCTTTCGCATTTTCTTCGATCTGTTCCTAGGAGCATTGTGAAAGGCTAGCCCCACTTTAATAACTAATGCAGACCCAAGTAATTTACAGTTAGATCATGTTACCCGGTGCATCCCTTCAGGCCTTTTACAAGTCTCTCTGGAAAAATGAAAGCTATTTTGAAAGATTTCTGGGACATCTGGAGTCATTTAGAAAACGATTTAAAGACTATAGAACACTGAACAATTGACTCACGTCGTTTCTTTGTACTCAGCATTCCTTCGAAATGTTAACGGAAGTCAATCAGGTAAAGTGCAACGGCAAAACTACTTCCTAACCAGCGTCCTGCTTATTTCTACCAGTAATATCTTCTAGTATTCACAAGAAGTGGGTGTACTTCTTGAAGGTCATTTTTCAAAATTTCGCATTGAAAACATCGAGAAATAAAGAAAAATGGCTGAGAATCTCAGAACATTCAGTTTTAATCAATCGATTTCTGTGCCACGCATTCCACAACCAATCAGAATCGTGACAACATTCTGGGTGGGACGTGCTCTGACCAATGATCTGGCAGGCTAGCGAATCACAGCACACCACTGGTTGGGGATTATGTTCAAGTCCGTACGACCCCCCACCCTCTAGGGGTGGCTTGATACCCCCCCCCCCCTCGTTCTCTCCTCTGGTATGATCGAGCTGTCGAACCGGGGGAGGGAGGAGGGGTATATAGCTTGAGTGAAGCGGGAAAAACCGCAAAAAGTCAACAACATGGAAAAATTTCCAGTGTCATGGGAAAATGTCAGTTTAATTATCCTCCTAGACCGGTCTGATGCCAGTTTACCGGACAAGGAGGGATGCAAAAGTCACTGGACGAAGGTCGGATGTCATACGGGATTTGATCACTGGACCGCGTGCGCGATGAGCGCCTCCACTTGCCACTACGGCTTATCCGCAAATTTTTAAACAATACATACCTGGTCACAACCAACCACGTACAAATTTTGTGGCGTAGACTATGCGTGCAATACTTGCAGAGGTACTGCTAGGATCGATTTGTAGTTGGTGAACGGTAATGGAAACGGCGCATCGTATATGTTGACGAAATTCCATAGTAAATCGCATTTCATGCGGGGAAAAACATGATACTCCCGAGGCCTTATGGGGTACAGCTCGTAAATGCAAATCAAAAACTTCGACTAGTAAAAAAGTTAGTGAACAGTTTTGCTATCAAAATAGAGATGCTTAACAAGGATGAAGGGCTACGCCCACGGACGACAAAATCGCAAATCAAAATTCCCTTGAGAATGTGGCGGCAGTCTCGAACGAAGGTCCGCCTTGAAAACTCAACAAGCTATGGAGTAAACGTCAACAATAGAAGTGGCTTAGACCTACAACTCAGGGAAGAAAATATTTCTTAACAGAAAAAATAGTTAGAAGAAGAGCAGCTATTGTAACTGGAGGAATTTCTATAAAAAATGAGTGGGTAGGGGTCTTATTTGTGACAAGAGTCTGTCCGCGTAAATTATATCCATTTCTTAGGATGACTATTATCACCAGATCACGTGTTACGTTGGTGAAAACCCCAGCAGGAGGGTCGTCTTTGGTCGCGGGGGAGGGTCCTAATTGGTCTGAAAATTATTTTTTGATAGTTGACTTCTCTTGTTCCACGTCACAAGCGAGCAGGGGGGGGGGTGTATCTGCCTTTGAGAGAAACTTGCGGCGTTGGGGAAAATTTTCCCCGGTTGTTGAATTTTCGCGGTTTTTCCCGTTTCACATGTGTTATATACCCCCGCTCTACAGCAAAACTTTAAGAAAAACTAGAAAATTTTCGAAAAATTCAGGAAAAAAAGGAGAAAAAGGGCAGCAAGTTAAAATCTGGGAAAGTGGTAGGTAGAATGGGGAAGGAGGGGTCTCGTACCAGAGCAGGGGACTAGGGGATCGTACATTGCGAAAATTTCCCCAGCGGCAGGACCTGCCCTAATTATCATAAACTAGAGAGAACATACTGTAAGAAGAGACAGCTGAGAACTTCTTGAGAACACTAGCAGAGCGAAGTGACCGGTCAACGTGACTTCATTCCACCACCCACTACCCCCCCCCCTCCTCACGTTCTCCCAGCACTCCCTACCTACTCCCCAACGCCCGAACACAATCTGCCTTGCCAACCATATGCCACTGCATCTATTTACATATATAACTTTCACGATCATGCAATTTCGGCCATTTCTGTTCATATAAGGGGCGAGAGAGTTAGAACGAACAGGCCTCAAGTCCGAGAGAGAAAGAGAGCTCATCCAATTTAAAATCACATTTGTCTGCTAATGAGGTTTTTCAGTTTTCATTAGAGGGAAATTTTTTTCTTCAACATCAGATAACAAAAGGGAAGATAAAGAGTAAAAGCCTCACTTATAACTTTGTGAGACCTTTTTGCAGCTCCATAACGCGAGCAAGGCACATGCAGCTGTCTCGAAAGGCAGAACTCTAAGAAGAAATTGAAAAGGTAGCAAAAGACCTGCTATTAGGAGACTTGGTGGGCATAGCTATTATCGTTAGATAATGACTTCTTGTCGGATGTTGCTCCACTCGACAAGTGGATGACGCTATCCTCATGTGGAAAGTAAACAAGTATTATATATCGAAGGTAATTAACAAGCTATCCCTAACTGTTCAGTTATGGCAGAGCAAAGGGATGGGCAATTAAAGATATAGGGGCTGTTGATTACCCTCGAGAGCGTGGGGTGCTCTCGAAATAACCATCGAAGTCTATGCAAAAGGGACTGCAGTGAAGGAGCAGGTTTTGAAGCTCTTTCTGGCATGTGCCACGCATTCCACTTCATTAAGAATTGTGGCATTATTCTGGTACCATTTAGCCCATACAATTACTTGGCAGTATCAGCCAATACACAAGCCGGGTTTTCGTCCTCACATACAAGATCGTGACCAGCAACCTGTAGTGTCCAAGTGATGTTTAAATACGTATGCCGCACCTAATACTTAGGATCACTCAGAGCATACGACGAGCAGCGCAGGGACAAGTATCACGTCAAGGAATCACCCGGTTCGTACGAGCCGCTGCAGTAAGAAAACCCCATCGACAGTATACCTTTTACTGCGCCCAGTCATCCGACATCAAGCCAGTTTTTTATCGCCCCTTTTTCCAAAGATTCAGCCAAAAATTTGTCTTCAGAGTCTGTTTGACCCCCTGACACAAATGTCACACTGGTTCAGCCCGAGACCACATGGCG